GAAGAGAAGGCACTGCTACTCACCGTCTGCAGAACCGTCCAACCCGGTTGATACTTGGTACAGGGGATAACCCAGATCTCGGGCGACGTCTTGACTGTACGGGTCATAGCCTTTGCCTTGGTGGAATTGACGGATCCCAGCGTATATACTTTCGCAGGACCGTCCCAGTACCTCCATGTTGAAGTGGAGACGGGGAAATCTGAGTTCTTCCGCCTCTTCCGTACTCAAGCGCCGGGCTCCCGAGGAGTCGAGGGACCAGTATGCGGGGCACTCTGGAACCCGGAAGTGTGACGGGATTTCGGATTGAAGGTCCCGTAAGGGACATAGAAAGAGATATCCCGAAGGGACGCCGCCAGTGCCGGACAGTGTTAATTGATATTGCACGGAGTGTACAAAGACTGCTGGGACTGGTTAGCGGGACTGAGACAGTTGATATACTGTGAACATACTATAATCCTTGTAGTTGGAGGTTATCCCGAGGTGATTGAAGGTGTAATTAGCCTGCGTGAGCCAGGCTCTGGATTGAAGTGGGCAATGATGCTTGGATGCAATTGTTCGGTGAATTATGTCGTCCCTAATATTTGAGGAATTCACACTGCGGATGCAGATATTAGTAGAGCGTAACAAGTACAGAGAAGGTATACATACCGAGTCCAGCCATCCTCCATTACCAATCGCTCTGTATAGGGCCCATAATCACGATACCCAACTTCAGGCCGTGGAATCTAATAAAACTTACCGGACCGGTCGCCACGTACGTGAAGCGAGGGTGTTCCGTACACCGCGTCCCCGAGCTGTTCTGTACCTTGCGCACTTCGGGACCTGGGACACGAGTTAAGCGCGAAGACAAGACAGCTTAAACGCATCCGGCGAGCTGCAAAGCTGATTAACCGAATTATCCGGTGGTTCGTAGTTCGATGGGTACAAGTACTGCTGGTGGATGTTGTAATCATGTCGGTCGGATATCACGTCCGCTGTAGTTGGCGCAAGGCACTGGCCGAGAAAGACAAAGGGCCGGAGTTAATCTGAGAGACATTGTGACCTAGCAAAGAGAGGATGTGAAAGCCGAGGGAATCTATAGCACTCGAATTCCGCTTGAATTGCGCGGATTCTTGAGGCCCGGATTGTTGCAAGTTGTCGACCGAGGAAATGTGCGCATGGAGGAGAAAAAGAAACGTGCGATAGATAATACAGATGGGTAGTGCGAGTCGTGTCATGTGGGATCGTGATAAGTACGTAGGTAGCGAAGGAAGAACGAAAGCGAAAGGAAAAAAGAAACAAAACAAAAAGGAAACGGCCTGGCCACGCGGCCTCCGCACCGTTCGTCCGAGAGGGAGCGAGCTTGGAGAAGAAGAGCGGTAGAGTGACGTGAGACGAGGCCAGGATGGGAGTAGCAAGCGGGCTCTTACGTCAACTAAACTCCTCCCCCCCGCCACCAGCACCGCAAACCTCCCAAAAAAGCTCATCAAGCACCGCACGAGCCACGCGCCGTCCGCGCCAGCGCCCAGCCCCGGCCGCAGCTGCATCGCCAGCGCCGCGTCCAGCGGCGAGCACCGTTTTCGGATCTGCGCTTGCGCGGAGGAAAGGGGCCGAGCGCGAGGGCGGAAGACGTGGCCTTGCCGTCGAGCGCAGAGCTCGTCGAGCAGGCGCGCGCGGTCGCTGTACTAGGCTGCGTCCTCGTCTTCCGCGAACGGGTGGATGCGGGCATGGCGGACGCCGGCAAGGCAGATGCAAGGGCGCGGCAGTCCGACGCCTCGAGTAAGGCGGGGGCCGGCACGCATACATCATAATGATACACGCCGTCGTCGGCACCTCCCTCCACCCGCCCGACCTCCACATCGTCCGCCTGCTCGGAGCCGTAACCCAGCAACGGCGGCGCAAGTTCCTTGGTCGTCCGCGTCACCTGAATGCGAGCCAGCCCCACCCCACGCTCGGCGTTGTGATCCTCCACCTCCTCCTGCTCGGCGTGCTCCATCTCCTCTTGCTCGGCGTTCTCTACACTCTCGACGAGGTAAACAGCGCGCGCGCAGGCCGGCACGACATCCTGGATCCCCGCCAAAGATGGCGCGGGCGCGGGCGCGGGGAACTGGCACGCACGTCTCCTCCTCCACATCCCAGTTGCTCGCTTTCGGAATCGTAGGACGGAGCGCCGCGCCGCCCGCCCACCACCGCGCCGATCGCGCGCGCCGAGAGGAGCTCCTCCACCTCCTGTCCTTGCTCCGTCCTCCACATCGTCTTCCGGCGCCCAGCCGGGTCGCGGATCGCCCAGACGCGGGTACTGGGTTCGCGCGTCGAAAGCGCGTGTGGGGACGGGGACGGGGTATGGGTATCCCTGCGCATCGGCGTCGGCGTCGCGCGCACCTCCCATCCGTAGCCCGATCCGCAGCGGCACCCAGATCGGCATCCGCACCCGCAGCCAGATCGACACGCGGCGGCGGGTTCGTCTTCGGTACGCGAGGATGTGCGGGGCTTTATAGCTGCGTACGGCCGCGCGCGCGGAGACGCGGCGACGGACTAGGGGCGGGCGCCGAGGAACGGAAACGGGACGCCGCGGCGGCGCGGGGAGGTACTGCGCGACGTGCAGGGGGAGGTGCTTCGCCACATGCGGGGGGTCTGCGCGGAGGGGGAGCGGTGGCGCGTTGTCGTGCAGCGGGCCGGAGGAGGGGTACATCCACCGGCGGGGCGGGACAAGGAATACGGGCGGGCGAGGGGTGTAGAACGGGCGCGCAGCGGGGGAGAGAGTGTGTGCCGCGCAGGAGAGCGCGATACGTGTCCGTGGCATTCATAGCCTCGCGCGCGAGGGAGGCGAGGGGGAGCGTAGCGGTGGTATTCCAGCCGTATTCACCATCGTGTCCGGGATAGGATTCATCGCTTCCGTAGCACTCGTGTTCATGGCGTCGACAGTGGCGGCAGGGCGGGCTGAGGCTGCAGCACGACACCGGGGAAGTCGGCGGGGGAGGGCGGGACGGAGACGTCGACGAGCTCCATCTCCATTCAGTGCGTTCCCATGTTGATGACGATTTCGTTGGGCGAGCGCGGGTCGGAGACGTCGACGAGGGGGCGTGGCGAGCATGCGAGGATGCAGCAGAGGGAGAGGGCGAGGTTGAGCAGTACTAGTGGTTGCGGGAGCGCGGGAGCGCGGGAACACTGGCGCGAGGCTCTTTGCGCGCCTCCCCTTTCCGAAGCCGAGTCCGAGCCCCAGGAAGGGCGGGGCACACGCCTACGACGACGACCGCGGAAGGGCAGGGGGTAGGCGTGCACGTGCAGCGCGGTCGTGCGGGCGGAGGTGCTCTGCGCGCTCCCAGAACGGAAACGGGCGGCGCGGCAGCCACGCGATTGAGCGGCGAGGGCGAGGGCGAGGGCGGCGAGGAGGAGGAGCGCGAGTGCGGCGGGGGAGAGGCCCGGTGGGAGGAAGGGGAGCAGCGGCAGGGCGGCCATGCCGTTAGAGATGGATCTGAATGGGGCGGGTCAGCGGGTGGATTGAATTCAAGGGGAAAGGAAGGGAGGGAAGAGGCGTAGGGGGTTGTGGGACATGGAGCTGGATGTTGGTGGGGGAGGAGGAGAGCGTGTAGGACGCGTCGGTGGGTGCCGTGGCCGGGCCGGGCGGGAGGCGATGGCGTGCGGGCGTAATATGTGCAAATACAGGCTTGGTCTCGACCGCCACCAGTGTTTCTCGACCAGGCGCGTCAAACCCTCTCAACAGAGTCAGTTTCAAAGCTAAGAAATCGGGTGTGGTGCGTGGTGCACGGCGGCTGGTATATAAGCCGTAGACCGGGATTCGACTCCCCGCACCCGACCTTAGGTCGTAAAAGTCTTTTTTTCCACTGCCTTCAGGTGAATTCCTTGGCCACCTAGACTTGTTCTACCCGCAGGTTCAGTTTTCATTCTTCTCTGTAGAATGTTCTTTGCATATTAACACTGGATTGATTGCGCCGGAACCTCTCAGGAATCAACCATATGAGGTTCAAAGCTAGGAATCGGGTGTGCACGGCGCACAGCGGCTCCACTTGGGATGAAGGATGGATGTAAGCCGCGTTTTCGACTCCCCGCACCCGAACTCCGCTGCGATGAAGATTTTTTTCCTTCAGGTCAGTTCCTTTCGCCACATAGACGGACTTGTGTTAGCTACTGCCAGGTTTGATTGTCCCTGCAGAATATTCTTTGCACTCTGAGTTTCAACACTGCATTGCGTACGCGATAGTCTACAGAATTCAACAGACCAAGATCCATAACTAGGAAGCGGGCGTGGTGCACGGTGCACGGCGGCTCACTCTGATCTGTGTAGTTCCGAGAAATATAAGCCGCAGCTCGGGGTTCGACTCCCCGCGCCCGACGTACATGTGTGTCAGTGATTTTATTTTTTACCATCTGCCAGTGCGGCAACCGCACAAAATTGATCCCACAGGTTCTCAGTTCTGGCCTGCATCGAAGATATACTCACCAGGTGTGGTGCACGGCGCACATCGGCTTCATTTGGGAATCACACATCCATTTAGGCCGCAGGGCGGGGCTCAACTGCCCGCAGGCGACTTGTCTTCGAAATTCCACACTGTTTTTGTTCTTTTCGCAGATCTCGTACTGTTTTAACTGAACTGGGCGCCATTCCCTCTAATAATAATATGTTTGAGATTAAAGCTCCGCGTGTCGGCAGAATATCCTCGTTCAAGTTGAGAAGGCACGAAATTGAACCATACTTCACTGACTGAGCTTCAAAACTATTAATCGGACGTAGTGCACGGTGCACGGCGGCGGCATTTAGAAGAAAAATGTACGATAGAGCTGCAGACCGGGGTTCGACTCCCCGCGCCCAACATTTGGGTTTCGCTACGAAGCTTTTCTTTTTCCTTCTCTGATAATCTACTTGCACGCAGGATATTACTTCCTTCACCTCGGAGGATGACCACTCTACGATGATCGCATATCGTCGCAGAATATTCTTGCACCTTCAAACACACACGAAAGGGAACCCCAGTCCACCAATATTATTTCATGGATATGAATCGGGTGTGGTGCACGGCGCACGGCGGCTTGAGTTACGGTAGTCCTTGAGAATGCACGTAAGCCGCAGACTTCCGGGGTTCGACTCCCCGCACCCGAACTACTTCTGATTCGGGAATCTTTTTCTTAACCCACCACGTCGCTATAGTGGGCAGGAGTCACCTGTTGTATGGTTTGAACTTTAGCGGTTCGTTCACAATATTCGTCCGTTCGATTCCTGCCGCTTCAAAATACACGAAATAAATAACACTTCACTGAATGGGCTTCAAAGGTGGTAATCGGGTGTAATGCACAGCGCGCGGCGGCTTCATTTGAGACGGCGAATTGAGCCATAACATGTAAGCCGCAGCTCGGGGCTCGACTCCCCGCACCTGACCTCCACCGTAATCGGACACCCTTTTTCCTTTCTACAATCTCAAATAAACCGCTTCCCCTACATAGCTTTGAGTTACCTCAATCCTCATAGTGGTAGGTTCGATTTTGGGTGCACACTGGGCTTTACAGAATATTCGTTATTTAACTCCTAGGTTCAATACTGCAATCACCACGACGGAACTTCACAGAAATCAATCGCACTCCACGGACTCCCTTTTGAAGCTAGGAATCGGGTGTGGTGCACGGCGCACGGCGGTTTTACTTATCACGGGCCGAAGACACTAAGCCGCAGGACGGGGTTCGACTCCCGGCACCCGAACTTCGCTGTGGTCCAGTCCTTTTTTCCTCCGCCCCCAGCTGAATCCCTTGGGCCGCATACCTTTGGTCATCGCACTCCTACTGATAGGTTCAATTTTAATTGTCCTTCGAAGAATAGTCTTTGCACTCTGAGGTTCAACCATGCATCGCGTACGCCAGCCTACAGGCTTAAACCCATTCAACAGACTGAGATTCAGAACTAGGAATCAGGTGTGGTGCACGGTGCACGGCGGCTTTATTTGGCACATTAGTTCGGAACTTTAAGCCGCAGACCGGGGTTCGACTCCCCGTACCCGATTTCCCATCCCAAGCCACCATGTTTTCGCTCCTCCATTTTTCAGCACCAGTCTTTCTCAACCCAAAATATGCCTCTTGGGGGCAACAGGTGAAGCCCCCTCCCATGTATGTGACCTTTACATCGATATCTCAGCAGACTATTTCCGTTCAAGTTCAACCACCAAATAACGCAAGCCCACTCAACAAACTCATTTTCAGAGTTATAAACCGGGTGTGGTACACGGTGCACGGCGGCTTCATCTGCTGTGCTTCCGGCAGAATTAAGCCACAACCCGGGGTTCGACTCCCCGCACCCCAATCATCCAGGCGTGTCTCATTTTTTGGAGGCGAGGAGCAGGCACAGTACCAGTTCAAGTCACCCACATTCCTTCTTCACTGACTTGTTTGACTTGTTTGCATAGCTAGAAATCGGGCGTGGGGCACGGTGCACGGCAGCCCTCATTTGCTGTGGTCGACGCATATAACTTGCCGCACCCCGGGGTTCGACTCTCCGCAACCGACCTGTCCCACCGGCGCCCCCCTTTTCATTTTATTTTCACAGGTCTCGTAGCGTTTCAACCAAGCCGGGTCCCGCAGGTGCGCCATTCGCCCAAATATACTTCAGCTCAACATGATACATGTGAGCAACATATTCCCGTTCACATTGGAAGGCATGGAATTGAACCACAAAACTAGCTGCCAAGCGCATATCTACATTGACAGGATCTTTTTCTTCGAGGCTAGAGAAGGGTCGGTGTGTGTCGGAGGTGGGTAGCCACGTCGGAGACGGGCACCATGCCATCCAATAGCGACAGAAGGGTAAGTCCGCTGAGGGCCAAACATCGACAGTGGGTGCGAGGGGGAGGAGTGGGAGCCCTCGGGAGAGTATTGCCCGGACTGCTGGTAGTCCCCAGCAGTGTCATTCTGCATCAAATAGGGTAGGAGGTGTACACTGGCATATTGGACATCAGCGAAGCATTTAAGTCTCGATCGTGTTTCGGCGGGTGAGTAATCGCTGCCCTGTTGATTCGGGAGAAGAACTTGTCCCATTGCCCTGTCGCACACGCTCGTCACGTCAGCAAAGGATGAAATATAAGAAAACAAACGGAACAAAACGCACCCCAGTCAAACATCCCGCCCGGGATCCCTTCAAGGAACGTCGCATCCGCCAGGGCGCCCCCACCTGTGAACCGTCGAGAACATTCATAACCTGTACCTCCTCCACCTTCAGCAGTTCGTTCATCGAGGGGTTCATGTTTGACTCCCCCCGCAGTAACGTCGCGTTCCATGTCTGCATTTCTGGCGGCGTAGTTGCACTGCGAGCGGCAGCAGCCCCATTTTCATCCTTTTTCGCAGGGCTGGTCACAACTAGAAGTGTCGGGAGCAACGACGTGTTAGCTGGCGCTCCAGCGCTTCACCTTGATTCATGGTCACATTTTCCCCCCTCGGCTGAGTCGCTCGCCGTCCCTACGGGCAGGTCATTAAATTTGACCTTCGAGTCTCTGTAAGTGTTCTCCTCGAAGATCCGGAATTGCTAGGTGTTTTCAACAGGGCCTTTCAAGCAGAGCTGACAGGCGAGCTCCTTCTGAGTGCCGATACAGTCTATGTGACTCCAAAGCTTGCATTCTTGGCACTTGACCGTAGGGCGCAAACCAGGATCTGCGAAAGTGCGGAGAATCAGGTGCGTAGTGAGTTAATCTTGAGGTCTTACTAGCATCGCCACAAATACACCGGAAGATCTCGTGCAAGCCCACCACCTCGTGGCAAACGGAGCAAATCTCGAGCGGGCTCGGTGCCTCATGGGAGACCACAGCGCTGTCGCCCGTCGTGGACGCAAGCGTGACTTCTTCCCGAATTTATCCGGCGCAGCGATGCGCACTTCGCCCATCGTTCCACACGAATTTGTTGACAGAATATAGCTCCATGTCGAGATCATGAGAAATTCGGCGGGCGATGGTGGCCAAGGATTGCTGTCCGCGATCTATCGTTCGCCACACATACTCCCCCCGCGGCTGAACGGGAGGCTCGTCGTCTATGATGTGTGGCGACGATGGTGATTCCGAAGCCGAATTCGAGGCCAGACCGGATGTTGCAGAAGGCCTGTAAGGGGCGGAAGGACAGGCCACCAGATCAAGAACCACGGGATTCCTCTCGATGTTCTCGTCTGCGCTAGATACACCAGGAAGCTATGTGGTTACAAGAATATCAACTCACTGTGCAACACGCGATTAGCGGACCTCAAGACCTTTATGCGAACGTTCAACATTGAAGAAGTCTGATCCCTTTGGGAGAATATTGTACGGCGTACTTTTTGACACAGCGCATTGAAAACATCCCAAGAAATGGTGGCGTTATCTTCCTGGAGTAGATCTGTCGAAGTAGTGGCTCGGCTGGCCATATAGCCGGTAGTCGGGCTCGCGCCCGACTGCGTAGACCAATCCCCCTTTAATATGTAACCATCCCCGTTTCACTTTCTTGATCATATTATATATATCTCCTACCTACGGAGACGCTCCTCAGTTGTTCACCTTGACGTGCCCAACTGAGGTTCGTCTCTTCTACTCATTTTCCTATTTCTATCTTACTTACATTCATACTAGTTTACTTCTAACAGGTACTGAATATATAGTCGTTCACCTTGACGTGCCCAACTGAGTTTACTTCTAACAGTGCAATGAAAGAAAGGGTGCAACAGTACAGATAGGGGCGTCGACCGGAAATAGACGACCGCCACACCAAGCATCGGTGCGTTGATCGGAGTCACGTGATTACGACGCCCGACGCCCGGCGCGAGGCCGCCGCGGCCGCCAGAACCCCCCTCATCGCGCCTGACGGTGGGTGGAGGCCTCTCTAAATTGCGATCAACGTTCTCCGAACCACTTTCAGAATTGCAACTTGCTCACATCAGAATCGCGATGCGTATCTTGTGAGATGACCCTGATCAAAATCGCGATGGGGCATAGCCGAAAATCGTGGTGTGAGCCTGAAAGTTGCGTGATTGTGTCTCGAATCACATTCGCTGCCAAAAAAAGAAAACCGATGTGCCATTTAATTTTCAAAGTGAACAGCAAGGGGGCATTGTGGTAATCACATAGTGCGGTCATAGTTTAAGTAGCCTTTAGTCGGGCGGTCCGACATAGCAGTGAAATATTTACATAGGATAAAAGACAAATTCAGCGGTCCCAACGGAGCCCTGGGGAAAGGGCACCACCTGTATCACCGAATTGGCACAAGCTTTGCAGCGGCAACTGTACCTCCGCATATGTTATAATAGTTGCCCGCTGTGTTTCCCGCAAAGAGGATCACACATTCAAGCTGTTGATTGTTGATCACCCAGTTGAATGGGGCGTTGACGGCGTTGTTCAGTCCCCCGTTGCAGTTGGGAGTGTTTGGCCAACCTCCCACACTCCTTGACAGTTTGCATACTTGCCGGAGAGATCGTTTCCGAGGTAATGCATGCCAGCAAGGGATGTGCCGCTCCCCAAAGCGTAATGGTTCTGTGTAGTGTGTCAAAGGGATGTTTTCCGAGATTCCCGTGGAGTGTACCGTATTGCCCGACCCCAAAATCGTCATCGTCCCGGTTTGATAGACGGAATTACCTTGCGCTGTGTATGGGTTCATCCTCCCTTGAGTCCCAGGTATGTCACAGGACGGTAGGGCCGGGGCAGGAGGGATGAGGTTCTTTGAGTCGAATTTTTCATGAGAGATGAACCATATCATGCAGTATGAGTAAGTATAGTTACCGCCCAGCTGAACGTTTGAGGGTTGAACTGCGGCTATTCGTCACGGTATTGTCCAAAAATGAAGAAACTCAGTAACGCAGATGGCCCAGGTTAAACCTCACAGGTTGCGGATCACTAACCATTTGAAACGGTTACATCCGTTAGTTAAACCGAGAGCTTGTGCTCTCCAGGTGTACCCACTATTTGGGTGCTTAACCGTCTTCTAACACACAAATCCAAGGGGGTTCCGGGATTCGAAAAACGGATATAGGGTCGAAAAGTTTTTTTCGACCCTCGGCCAGACCCCCCCCTCCTCCCCCCATATAAGGAAGGAGGTTCCCACCCCTAGCGGCGGGCCGCGCTTCCGAGTCATGTGCGGGCTCACAGCCACCACATTGACAGCGTCCAA